GTTTAAGTGCAGGTTAAACACGTACTCAGGGAGGATAGATAAGCAAAGTTTATACTAAATCATTAATCTCAAGATTTATTTTTGTTACTTTGAGATGGGATTCTAGTGCATAAACCACCTCTTTTTTTAATTTTTTAATAATATTTTATTGTGTTCTCTGTGGAAGTTTACACAGCAGTTTAGGTTCCCAGTCAACAATTTCTGTACAAATTGTTCAGTTGCATTGGTTACATTCTTCACAATGCACGCACAGTCTCTTTATTTCCGTTCTAGTTGTTTTGTTTCCATTAATCTAGTTTCCCTGGCCCTTTACATTCTCATCTTTGTTTTAAAGTAATTGTTGACCGCTTGGTCTCACATAAGTGATTTTTTAAAGGAGCATAGTACTTATGGGTGATATTAATTATCCTTTGAGGCAGTTTGTTAAATAGCAAAAGGTGACTTCAGGAGTTAGTTTCACTTCAAGGTTTGAAGAGTATCTCAGGGCAGTAGTCTCTAAAAGTCCTCCAGTCTCAACCCCTCCATTAAGTCCGATAAACCACCTCTTAATGTTTCTGACTCAGGGACTGCAAAAGGGGCAACACGATTCAGTGGAAATAGGCACTCCCAAAGGGACAGTACAAGTCAGATCTTTTGAATTTTCTTGTGTTTAATATCGTGCTTTGGCTTGATTCCTTACATAAGTATTTTAATAGCTAATCACGGAGTAAAAAAAAAAAAAAATTTTTCCTGTGGGTTTCTTCTTTAACATTATTTCCACCCAATAACATCTTGAGAACAGTATTCCATGACTTTTTTCTCCCTTGCAAATGTGTGCCTGGGAAACAGCCACATTTCCCACCAGACATCGCAGAGTGTGTTTTTCTTTGATTTTACAATTTACATGCAGCTCTGCAAAATTCCTTATTGATGAGGGCTAGAGTATGAGGCAGTAATTGTGTTTGTGGAACCTGGTCACATTTTTCTAGGATATCTAAGACATTAGATCTTGTGAAACTTTAAAGGAGAAAGTTGAGCTCATTAATCTTTGATTCAAGTCTTTTTTCTTCTTTTTTTAATAATATTTTATAGTGTTTTCAGTGAAAGTTTACACAGTAAATTGGTTCCCATTTGACAATTTCTGTACAAATTTTTCAGTGACGTTAGTTACCTTTTTCACCATGTGTCAACATTCTCTTTAAGTTGTTCCATTTCCATTACTCTAGTTTCCCTGTCCCCTTATCTTTTCATCTTTGCTTTAGAGTAATTGTTGACCTTTTGGTCTCATATAG